GCCTTAATGCGACATTCAGGTTGATAAATTGCACGAGACATCCACCAACACTTCAGGCGAAGACCGGTTGAGCTTTCGTTCGTCGTCTCCCATGACGAACATCATCAAAGGTGGGACTCATTCTTGTAAAAGCGTTAAGTTATCACTAATTCAAAAAGACAAACCGGCTATTTATATATTATATATATACTATTTGCGAACGAAATTTAAGTGATAAAGGGACAAATAAAGGTTTGGTTAATTCAGGTATACACTAGTGTGTGTCTGTTTGTGTGTGTATATTAACTACTGTACACAAAACAAGATATGACTCAGAGTAATTAGAAAAAGGCTTAACATCAACCCCGGTCGTCAAGGCTTAAGGACCCAATAAAAAAATAATATAATAAAGGAGGACCTAGATTGCGTAAGTCAGTAAGTAACCCTGGTTAACCTGATGAGATGAAAGTGTGAACACGTGAAAGTAAGGTTACAAAACCACCAGTCCGAACCCGTTAGTTTGGGTTATTAAGGTTTAATGACGGAAGGAGAAACTTGGCTGGGATTGCGTAGCCCCGCACGTCTGCTTTGGCTGATGAGCTTGACATGTCTGTTGAACGAGTGTTAACTTGGTTAGAACCATACCTCGACTGGCAAATTGAGTCGTCTTCTTCTGGACATCCTATCTCTCCTTCAGTCTCTCAATCAAGTGTACATAATTCTTACTCAACTTTCTAACATCATTCCTACAATTCAACGTATTCCGTAATCCAGTTATTCCCAAACTGTGCGCCGCGGCGTCCAAGGGGAGCCGCTTCAATTTGAGATAATGTGCAGTAATTTGCAGGCTCATCCATCACATTAATTATTAACTATTAGTTTAATGTTGATAAAGTAAAAATAAATAATGAAGATACATGAGTTTTATCTATTTTTATCTCTTACTTACGAATAGTCATACTTAAGGTAGGCCGCCATGGAAAAATTTTAATTGAGAAAGAGCGCCGTGACTATGAAAAGTTTGGGAACCACTGCCCTAATCTACTAGTTTCAATAGCCTATCTTATCTTTCTTTTAACCACAGACGTACCATAATCAGCAAACATAAAAGTTTGAGACCATTCTTCTGCTGCCCAGTTTATACTAGGGGTTTAACGGTCAGAAGTAGCCTAACTCAAGTAACTACTTATGCTCGATTGATAGATTGAAAGTAGAGAGGTGTTGAACCGCCATCCAAAAGAAGATGACCAGAATAAAGACAAATAACAGACCATTCTAAATCAATCTATGTTTTTACACATTCTCTTTTGCATATTTGAGACTATATAAGAAGTAAGATAGAGCTGGATAGTATTCTTGTCTTAGTGTTAACTTGAGAATTTTACAAGAATAATTCTCAGCTCTGATGATGTCCATCATTTGATGGACAAAAGCTCAGCCCGCTTTTACCTGAAAAGAGAGAGGAGGTCTCGTGGACTGCGTCGATTGCAACGTCGTATAAAAACCAAACGGCTGCAGTACAACGGGATTCAACCGTCCTCTTCTGGTGGGATCGACCATCGAATCTCTTCTTCATACACTTTCATACGAAATGAGGGTCCCAACAATAATGCCATAAGTATCAAGCATCTGCATACTAGACCATTCCATCTCATGTCCAGTCTCCATTCTGTGTTCCACCACTTCTGAACGTTCGACCCAGCTGCCTTTATAAACATTTTTGCGTTCCTCTAATCTTTGGCGGATCAGATCGACTACAGGAGTACACAATCGCATAGCAGCCGGATCTTGAAAATGGGTCACATTACTCTCTAGAAGAAGATATAACCGAAGAAAGTGTCAGAGTTTCCTTGAAAGTTGTCTTTATCCCTCACTTCCTCCATAATTATACTATCTTCTTAGAAAGAAAACATGACGGCAAGATTAGAACATGAGGAAAAGTCTCGGCTCGCTTTCCTCTGGCCAAATAATCTCCGCCTAAAAATTGTAATCCTCATTAAAAATATATGATTGTCAATTAAGGATAATTATTCTCCAGGACTAAATCTTTCATTCTTCTTAACTCTTCGGTCAGATTATTTTCCTCTGCAAGCTTCATACTCCTAATGAGCATAGATTTTGAAATTCCAACCTTAGTTGTTTAACTATGGTTTGAAACAAAATTAAGAATAAAACTGGTATGTGCTAGTTTCCTATAGACATCTCTGCCTAGCCTACCATCTTCAATAATAAACACACCATCCAAAAAAAGTAGTTTCCTATTTTCTTCTAATTCCACTGTGAATTTAATATTTCTTTCATACTGGTTAAGTTAACTATCTTTTCCATGCCGCCCGATCACAAAATAATCATCCATATATCTGACAAACAATTTAAGAGCCAGAATCACCTTTTGCATTAAGCGTTCCTCAAGCTTATCCTTGTAGCTATTTGCCAAAATTGGAGTTTAGCAAGAACCCATTGCAAGTGATTGTGTCTGTTTATAAAACTTAACGTCAAAGGTGGAATATGTGCTACTCATTGATAGGTTAAGGAGTCTTATAATAGAGGCTATATTCCACTTAATTCACTTCGTAATCTCTGAATGCTCCTTTAGGGTGAGCATTGGAGCCTGAATAGCTCCTTGAACTGAAATATTTGTATACATTGATGCCACATCAAAACTTAGTAATATATTTTCTTCTTGGATATCCTACCGGTCCACTAGTTTGACAAACTCATAGGAGTTTTTTTACCGAAAATGACAAAAGTTCTGTTGCTTTTCTTAATTATATTACATAAAATGTAAGCTTTTATGCATAACATTACCCTTATTGTTAACAATCAATCTAATTGTAAACCCTTCTTTATGCATCTTTGCAAGGTCCTAGCAACTTCTTGCAGTAGAAAATTCAATTACCACTTACCCATTTCACCAATACATGCACATAGCTCCAAAGCATCTCCTAGCCTAGTTTTAAGTGCCCCTGTAGGTGCTTTCATTAGAGGCTTATATGCACAATCATTTCCCCTAAACGACACAACTTATTCAAGATTTCCACTACTCCACCCTTGTCGGCTTTATAACAATTTAAGAATTACCACCTAAATATCTAGCTACGTCGTATTAAGGCCAAATGGCTGTGGTACAACATCTTCTGGTTCTTCATCATGTAATTACATATGAAATTAAAGTCTTTACATAAATATGCATATAATGTTAAGTGTCTATGATATATATATATATATATATAAAGAGAGAAATATAATATTTTGTTTCCCCTTTCATGATAATTTATTATCTGCATTTTATTCGCAGTACTCTTCAATATATGCAATTGCTCTCAATTTATTTTTGCAATTTGTTCGTTTCGCCGGGGCTACTACGAAAAACGTAACATTTACTGTGCCCTTTGACAGGGCTATCCTGTCTTCAAGCATCAGACTGTCGATTGGGTACATTCCATGATACGTTGCTTCGTCATCGTAGTTTGTATCGTCATGGCGCAGGCATCTAGGACCGACTTGTCGAAAATAAAAGTGACATCCATTACTTGAGCACCTTTTGGCCTAACGCTTGTCGAGACCCCGAAGGATAATCTGATGTGAATTGAAGGACTTGGTTTGCTGATTAAGAAGGCCATGTTGTGACAGCAAGGATGGCACGGAGGAAGGAGGAAACTGGTGGATGATGACCCACTTTAAATGGGAGCTAGATCATAGTATGCAAGTTATTAATAGTGAGCGAGAGGATGAGCTACTCAAGGCACGTGAATGTAGCAGAGAAGGAGGAGGAGAGACGACACAAGCGCTCACGGATCGACTTTATTTGCTCTAGCTCGCTACTAAGGTTGGGTAATATGGCTGACGATACAACCTACAATGCAGGTGAATATAAGAAAATGTACCAAGTCGAGGATAAGTTGCTAGAAGAAATCTCGTTGACCATGACAGATACTGAAATAGCGAGTACTATCATCGAAGTAGCCCTGATGTGAGTAAGCCTCATTATTCAAGCAAAGTTGGTTTCGTCTTGCCTCTCCAAGCGCCTTCTCGGTCAGACTCGACTGATATCTCAACCTGGTCTGGGTCTCGCCAGTACCTTCAACGGGAATTGAACTCGAGTAGCGTACTGTGTATATTACACACTCCACCACTATGACGCTATCTCGATGAAGGTGCTGATGAAAATCAGTTGGAGTCATAAATGCAGTCCATCCTTAAAAGGTAGATTTATTTGTAGGCAAGGATAAGTAAAATTCAACGTTGTTAGGAGGACCTTCATTTCGAATAAAAGTACATGATGAAGAGATCCGTTTGTCGTTCTCACCAGATGAGAACGGATGAAAATCGTTGTACTGCAGCCTTTTATTTTTTATATTATATTCATGTTGACGCAGTCTCTTTGACGAGTTCGTAGCTTGGTGCGGCGAATGGCAAAACTCACTGATGATGCCGACTACGA